GATTCTGAGCCAACTGAAATGCGCTGGGATGGCAAGTGTCCTGAAACTGATGCAGAAGGGATATCCATCCAGGTGAGTTTCGCATGTAACAACAGTAAACGATGCATATTAATTAAATTGTTGGCTAAAACAGGACAGTCAAGAACGAATATATCCAGCGACTAGAAAAAAAGTATGAAGTGCACGCGTATCAGTTTTTCTGCATGACAACACCTCATCCAATTAGTTCACAAGTATTTTTGTAAAGTAGTAGTTTTACTAGCACAAAAATAGCTTGTTTAACACAAATCATAGCTGAAAGTAGCTTTGTTTCAGGACCTCGTTTGCGGAGCTGTATAAGACATATCAAAAAATTTTGCCGTCAAGACTTGCTCGGCTTGATCCGCGACTTTTCTGCAGGGTACAACTGTTTGCACTTTCTTTCATCATTTGTTGAATTTCAGCCACACACTCGCTCCAGCGACACGCCAAACTTTTAAAAAGGAAAGTGTAAAAAACAAGTATTTTTGTATCCACTATGCAAAGAAATATTTTCTGGATACCACACCCAAGCGAACTAACTAGCTCTTCAATGAATTTAGCACCTTTTGGCTAAATTTTGTACTCCTTATACTTACCGCAGCTCTGCGCATCCTCCCCTTCACCTTTTTCTCCCTCTTCGCTCGGTCATTAGGTGCGGGCCTTCTTTGCGCTATCCCAGATCATAAAATCATTTCCATTGCAGTGTCTGTTTCATGCACTTGGTCTCAACGACAAAGATTTCAAATTTGGTCAAACAAAAGTATTCTTCAGGCCTGGCAAGTTTGCTGAATTTGATCAGGTCTGTCTTCGCCAGTTTCTGTTTTTTAACATAAAGTTTTAAATGCTCTAAAAGCTAAATTTCCAGCGAAATCTTTCTAATAATAAGAGAAAACATTTTTGCCACTCATGCTAAGTGCATTTTGGAACATTGCTGCGCCTATTCAGTAAGTTACTTCACCGCGGTCCAGAAAATACAACGCTCAAAGCGGAGTGGTGGTACTCAGTATGTTACAGATGGCCAGAGTTCTGCCAAATGCTTCTGCCGAGAGAACTTTTATGCTGTAAAGCCCTCAGAAGG